CAAAATGTCATCAGAAATCAGTCAAATTGGAATAATCAAAATAATTAACCAAATAATAATGACAACAATCCTGTGAGAAACAATCCTTCTCCTTCTAGACCAGCATTAACAAATATTAATAATAACAACCAGACCAATTTTCTATCTCAAATTCAACTCTTATTAGTGACATTACAAGCATTAGCTTCTAGTCAATGAACAGATGCAACTAGCTCTACCAACTCAACATTACTCACTACCCATGATTACCTAGCTGGTGAAAGAAAAAGAATTAAACTAGATAAACCTGAAGCCACTGTTAATAAAGATACAATTATGGCCAAATCAAGTAATCCAACTATTTCAAATATATTGTCTCCAGAAATTCAAGTTGAACAATCATCAATTCTAACTATCAGAATAATTGCATTCAAAAAAGATACCAGAAAAAAGAAAGGTAAAGTTGCTCAATCTGTCTTGGCTACTAGATCTATTCCTTACGACATATTGGATGACTTAATAACTAGTAAAGCCAATATAATCTTTGGTCAATTAATTCAAACCTCACCAAAATAACGATTCAAGATATCAAAGGCAATGAGATGACCTACACAATCCAAGAGAAGAAGATGAAATCGAGGAGCAGGACTTAGACCAACAATCCTATCTCATGTGGACGCAGAATGATGACGACTGGACGACCGTACGACCTAAGAAAAAGAAAGTCCAGTTCAATCAAGAAAACATAGAGATTACACTGGAAGAAAAATGGACCCCGGTTAAAACTATCAGAAGAGAGTTGAAATATGTCGACCTCGAAGGTGTACCTTTGAGAATAATCCGAAGTATCAAATTCATCCGCGATGTACAAGCTTTTCAGGAAGGAATGAAAGTTCGCTGGAAGAAATTTACGTGGGATGATTGCCAACGACTCAATGAGAAATTCCGATTGGAGTGTGTATCAGAACAACGATGGTCTCTAGATTGGAAAGGACCTAACAAGCAATGTTGGTGTACCAAACGCCTCTATACCGACAATCATCGATGCCGTTCATGTTATGACGATTTAGCCGACTGGATTGCCATTCAACAACATCGACCCTATCGTGCCGAACTAAAGACAAAAGAGAATTGGGCCGAAGAGGTAGAACAAGAACTCTTCATAGCTCAACGTACGCGGGAAACTTACATCACTCTTGCAGAGGCTAAACAACATATCCACCCGGAGGAACAAATCGAACAGTGTGATGAATGTCAATGTTATCTAGATCAATACTATGGAGGAAATTATATCACACAGCATAGTAAGAAAGCACGATGCTGTCATAATTGTCATGTCGAAAAGAAATTGAACTTACCAGCTTGTGCCGTCTGCAATTATCGCGATGAGGCTCGACATATGTATATCACTGGTAGTTATGACAAACGATATTTCTGTACCTATGATCACCAATGTGTATACTGGTTTAATCAAGGTGGATGGCGTAAGAATGCCGGAACTATTCGAAAACTTCGTGAACAAGGAATTCTTTTGAACGTCTACGACGAATGCAACGAAATCGGTAAGGCGATCCTCTCCCGATACATTCAGGAAGATGATTTTGAAAACGAAAGAGGCTTGATCGAATACAACGGATCTGAGGAAGCTTCTGCCATAGAGATCTTCCAGTCCATATATCAACAACTAACTCCAGAAAGAAGATTGCAGTTAGCAAAATTGGATTACATCAATGTCAAATTATGTAACGAATGTCTCATACCTTGTGATACCGATTTATGTGCCGACTGCGTACAGCCGTGCCTAGAAGAGAAAGAAGACCTTGAAGAAAGACATGAAGAGAAGGAAAAGGCGAAGGGAACCGTCAAATCTTTAGTAGAAAATGAAATTAATGAAATCGAAGTGAGAGAAGAAGGATCAGAAAAAGATGAGTTGGAGCAGATAATTATTCAAACTGAAGAACTTACCCAAGAAATCCGAGACGAACCTCAACAAAAACAAATTGGAATTACCGAACAATTATTCCAGATCTTAGGATTAAAGCCTGTACAGTCAACACCGGTCTTGGATATCCAGGAGATCCAGAAAACCTTCTCCGAATTATTTGGATATTTACAAGAAGCCCAAAAAGAAGCACAGACGATAGGATTCGACTCCGATGCCGATAGTGCCTACGATACCTGTGAAGAAATTTTAGAAGGATATTATTCGGATGACGAAGAAAAGAACAACACCCAGGAAATAAAGGTCATGAACTATGCTATCAAAATCTATAATGACAAAGGAAAAGGAATCGTACCTCAACGAGCCCATTCAACTGATGCCGGGTTCGATCTCTACTATCCTGGACAGCTAGAACTCAAGTTGGAACCACATCAAACTATTGTCGTCGATCTATATGTCGCCATGGAAGTGCCGAGAGGAACAATGTGCCAATTAATGTCCCGCTCTTCTTTGGCCAAAAAAGGAATCGAAGTTAAAGGAGGGGTTATCGACGCCGGGTATACTGGGAATATTGGAGTAATTTTGACCAACAACTCGGATCAGGCTTATGTCATTAAACCGAATGACCGAATCGCACAAGCAGTTTTCCTCCAGCTAGCACCTGTTGAAACATTACAACAAGTTGAAGATCGAGACGATTTGAGAAAAAGCACTCGAGGAACTGAAGGTTTCGGTTCTACTGATCAACAAACCTTGAAGGCGTACTTCCTAGACACAAACGAAGTGTTACCAATGAAACAACGAACATTAACCGAAGAACAAGATAAACAGTTAAAAAACTTACTCAGTCAATTCCAAGATATTTTTACTGATGATCTTAAACAGCTCGAAGGAACAAATTTGATTCAACATAAAATTGAAACCGATGGAACTGCCCCTATCCGTCAACGAATGTATCGAGCAACCATACCCGACCAAGAATTCATTCATGGAGAAATTAAAAAAATGTTCGACGCCGGAATAATTAGACGATCCAATAGCCCTTGGGCTTCTCCGATTGTCGTTGTCACCAAGAAAAATGGAAATAAGCGATTCTGTGTCGATTACCGGAAATTAAACGAAATAACTCGTAAAGATGCCTATCCCCTCCCACGAATCGACGAAATGCTTGACAGTCTTGGAGAAGCCAAATGGTTCTCCTCGATGGATCTTTCGTCTGGTTATTGGCAAATCCCGATGGAAGAATCTAGCAAGGCCAAAACCGCTTTTATCTCAAGGGAAGGATTGTTCGAATTCAACGTTATGCCGTTCGGAGTGTGCAATGGCCCCGCTACATTTCAACGTGCAATGGATACCGTACTGGCCGAAGACAATTGGAAGCATGCAATGGTCTACATCGACGACATAAACGTTTACTCTACGACATTCAACGACCACTTGAAGCACCTGCGAAAAGTTTTGCAGAAAATTAGAAATGCCGGGTTAAAACTAAACAAAGAGAAATGTAACTTTGTAAGAAGCAAATTACCTTTCTTAGGACACGTTGTCGACGAACATGGAATATCTCCGGACCCAACCACTGTCGATAAAGTAAAGAATTTCCCCCAGCCGCGTACGGTTAAGCAACTCCGATCGTTCTTAGGACTTGCTGGATATTATAGGAAGTTTGTTAAAGGATTTTCACAAGTAGCAGCGCCTCTGTTCAAACTATTAAAGAATAACATTACCTTTATATGGACCCGAGACCAGGAACAATCTTTCCACGAACTCAAACATCGACTCATCACCGCCCCAATTTTAATCTACCCCAACTTCATGAAGAAATTCTACTTATATACGGACGCATCTGATTCAGGACTAGGCGCCGTATTGGCTCAGAAAGACGACGAAGGAAGAGAGCGAGTCATATCATATGCCAGCGTATCTTTAAAGCCCGCTGAAAAGCGATACAGTACTACGGAAAAGGAAGCCTTAGCTGTTGTCTGGGCCGTACGACAATTTCGACATTATCTACTAGGCCCCCTTTTTGAAATAGTGACCGATCATAACGCTCTCCAATGGCTTTTTCACAAACAAACCAATCCCGGACCTCGCGTTGCCCGCTGGGTAATGGACCTAATGGAATATAAATTTATTGTTACCTATCGATCTGGAAAGAACAATCAAAACGCTGACACCCTCTCTCGACTATATCAATAACCCAACTTGAGTCAAAACAAAACGAAACACCATGAATTTAAGTACTTACGCAAATCTAATTAACTATTTGAACATTCAACAATATCCCGTCGGATATACTACAAAACAAAAAGAACAATTAAAACAACAATCAAAACATTATATTATTAAAGATGAACAACTATATAAAATTAATCGAAGAAAGGAACCCAACAATCCCCTCAAAGTATTAAAAATCAACGAAACCGAAGCAATAATAACCTACATGCATGGAGACATATTATCCGGACACTTTGGATTTGAAGGAACCTATCATCGAATCGCCGCAAAATATTGGTGGACCGGAATGGGAACGCATATTAAAAATTTTATTAAGTCATGTCCGACTTGCCAATTAACTGGAGGACGAATTACCAAACCACCACTCCATCCGATTAAAATAGGACAACCATTCGAAAGAATTGTAATCGATCTCGTGGGACCATGTAAAATAACTCAAAATAACAATCGTTATATCATCACTGCTATTGATTATATGACCAGATGGCCTGAAGCAAGAGCCGTTCCAAATAAAGAAGCCTCGACTGTAGCGAAGTTTCTTTTCGAAGAGATTATCTGTAGACATGGATGTCCTAAAGAGATCCAATCTGATAACGGAACCGAATTCACCGCGGAAATAATTAAAGAACTAACAGCTCAGTTTGGAATAAAGCATAAATTCTCCACACCCTACCATCCTCAGACAAACGGAATCATCGAACGATTCAATCGAACACTATGTGGAGTCTTACAAAAGTATTGCATCGCTCTGGAAAAAGATTGGGATCAATATATTCCCGCCGCTTTATTCGCCTATCGAACCCTTCAGAACTCAACAACCCGACATCAACCATTCTTCCTAGTACATGGACGAGACGCCAGGTTACCAACTGATGATCCAGAAATAACAAAAACTGATGAAGAAGCAATATTAAAAAGGATATTTACCTTAATTGACCGACTGCCGGAATCCCTCCGACATGTAAAACAAAATGTAGAAAAGCAACAAAGAAAAACAAAGGAACGACATGATGCAAAAATTAGTAAGAAAAGTACCTTTGACATTGGAGACAAAGTTCTCGTCTTCGATATGATCCAAAACAACGCCCACGGTAACAAATTCCAACCGCAGTGGAAACCGAATTGGTACTACATTCATGAAAGTAATAACAACAATACTTACAAATTACGAAATCAAAAAGGAGAAGTACTCCGACGCACAATTAACGGACGACAATTGAAACAATACTACGAACGAAAGGATTATTTTGAACCAATCATTATTGTAGATTCATTATAAAAAAAGGAACGACACACAAAAAAAAAAATAAAATAAAATAAAATAAAATAGAATCACAAGTAACGGTAACATCAATCAACAAAATAATGGTAATTAATCAAAATCAAAGTCGCACGAACAAATATCACCATAAATAGTAACAAACGTGGTAAGACACGTAAAAATCTGTTGGAAAGTTTAGGAGATCGTACTTGGAAACGTGTGGTAAGACACATTAAAATCTGTCGACGGAAAACGGTTATAAAAGAAAGAGGAATTCGCAGAATTTAGAAAAAAAGAAAAGTCACAATAACCACGAAATAAAACAACAACAAAAGAAAATGGCAGACTTATTCCCATACATTACCGACAATGTTCTTAATGCAATTAACACCATTGCTTCCACCATGAAGGAACAACAATTCAGAGGAAGAATAACAATGACAGCGGAAGAATATACTATTATGGAACCAAATGGACAGACCTATTTTTACGCCATTACTCATGCTAACAATAATAGTAATCAACAACAAGAAACTCAAATAAAAGTCTTTGACATTATAACAGAATTGAACTATAGTGGAGAAGATAATTATCCGTCACCACTGGTGTACCAGTATGACAGAAATGTTCCATGGAAATCTCAACTTCAACAAATATTACGTGACATAATCTATGACAAAGGAATGGAAGCTGAACAATTACAAAAATATTATCACCTTGGACAACTATACAAAAACAAACCAGCTTCTTATCACCGACAACTTAAAGCACTCAAGTATGAGTTAGAAACCACCTGTGGAACAAGAACAATTGCTTTTCATCTTCGCATTGCAAAAAGAGTAAGAAAAATATTTGAGAAGAAAGGTCTTAACCGTCTTCAACAAAATATTGATCTAATGCCATCAACAATTGGAAGACTAAAAGAAGAAGAGTTGCAGCAAATTTTAGAACAAATTTAACCCTTCGCTGGAGCTCAGTCTTTTCAAGGGGGAAATAATGTTACCGTAGTAACATAAAATTCTCTAATTCCATAATTTTAACTTAATTTTTACATGAATATTCATATACATTTAT